GGCCAGTTGGAAGTCCGACAACTGCCCCTCAACTACAAGTGTCGCACCCGACCGCAACTGCATGTCCCCCAACATGCTTGCAACTAGACTTTTGTTTTGTCAGAGGGGGTGCTGGGAGAGGGGGCGGCTAGTGTGCATGTGTGGCACTAGGCATGCAACTGCAAGTGTCACCCCCGACCGCAACTGTGTGTCTTCTAACCCGGTCGCAACTAAACTTTTTTGTTCTGTCGAAGGGGGCGCCAGTAGAGGGGGCGGGCGCGCGGTGTGGGTCTGTTTTTTACTAAAGAACTAAAGCCGTGTCATGATTTTTGAATTAGAGTTTCTATCATGTACCCCTTACTCTCTTTTTTCATTGTCTTTTTTGTTCTACCACGTTGACTGTTCCCCAGTAAAAACCCAACATTTACCCCTTTCGCATTTTATTTTATTTTAGCAAAATCACTTCTACTACTTCTAGCATTCTATCACTTCTAGTTATTTTTGGGATTTCTTAGCTTTGTGTGTCTACTGGTGTGTAATACTAATACGGTAGCAGACCATTTCTCTTTCTTTCTTGGTCACGTGGGAGCGCATTTTCCTTTTCCAACCTGGGATATTTGTCTGGCCATTCGTTTCTTCTGTTGTTTTTAAATGTTTCTGCAAAAACACACACACGAGCCAGCCCAAAGCAATCAAGCCCACGGAAAATAACAAATAAAAGACAACCGAGCCCACAAACAAGCCCATCAAGCGAACGACACAAAACTAGCGATCAAACAGGCCAATCACCATGTGGTGACGTCATTCGACTGAGACTTAGCGAAGTCTCAGTCGACTGAGACGTAGACGGACCCTTTACTGAAGTCATCATCTGTTTGGTCGTGCTTGCAATTGCAATGTTGTCTGTAATATCCTTTTGCTGTGCACAGCAAGTACTCGTTTTTGCTGAGAGGACATAGCCTTGACCTTGAGATAGTGTTGTTGATTTTATTTTTGAAAAAATAAACAGAAGCTAAACAGACATGTTTGCAATTGATAGTTACTGGTAAGTCTTTGCTTGGACAGTTCCCAGGTTCACCATAATAATCGGTTACATTCAACAGTTAGTTCTATTGTTTCCATGATTTAAGGTGTGATGCACGTGCAAAACAATACTCCCTCTATGAACAAATCTAAGACTAGGTCACATTTGTTTACAGAGGTGGTAGCTTTCAGGGAATTGACCTCACAGTACAAAACACTATTTTAGGTCACATTTGTTTACAGAAGAGGTAGTAGCTTTCAGGGAATTAACCTCACAGTACAAAACACTACTATATGCCTGTTATGCTCGCTAAGATTAAGATAAGTTCTTAGTGACTATGCTCAATTCCGTAGGCCGAAACTTCATTTTAAATTTGAAAATTGGTGACTTTTGAAGATGATTCCCAAGACATGGCAAGGAATGCTAGGAACTCTTCTGTCAAGAAAGCGGAAAAGCTTTTTCACGACCGATGCCCGATCCCAATCTCTCTTCCCCCAAAATCCTAATCTTTCTCCCCCTGATTTTAAGGTGGGCCGAGGCAGAGCACTCGTCGGGCGGCGGAGCTCCGGCAGCATAGCGGCAGGGTCGGGTGAACGCGCAGGATTGGAAGCCACTTCGTGCCGGGGCCATGAGCTCGTGGCTAGGGGCGAGCTGCCGGACAGTTGCGACGGCCAGGGAGGAGGGAGGCCGCCTTGTGGTGGCGAGCCACCACCTCGGAGGAGGCAGGCTACGGGGCTGGGAGGGGGGCTGATTGCAAAGTAGGATCTCGCATATCTCAAAGTGTAATTGATTGAATCACCATATGAGATACCCATAGATAGTGTAGGGTTTAGGGTGGATAATCTGATCTTGACCTAAAAACACACTGAGCCATCATAGTAATACCTGTGCTGCAGATGCGGCATAGGATAGGAGATACGACACTGCAGCTATATGTACGTACACGTATGCTTGAGATCTCAGCTACAGCTGTATGTACGTATGCTTACAAAACTACAAATATACGTTCCCCTCTCTCAAACGAAAAAACAAGCTACAGCTGTACGTGCGTTCCATTCTCAAAGGTTGATTTTTTTCAGAATGGTCGTTGCTCTATCTATATTGCCGAGTATATCTGTGGCAGTCTGAATGTTTACCCGTTTAGGCGTGCCTGGTGGTGAAGCCATGGATTTCAGTATCCAACTTCTTCTATGGTGATCCAGCACAAATGAGAGAACCTAATATGGAGGAAAGACAAGAAGTGAGCGCACGTCATCGCTCTGGAGCCCGTTTGGGTCACATTTTTTTTGACCGGTCATTGACTGGGCAGTCCGTGCGGATGTTTGAGGGGGTTTGAGGCGCCGACTGTAGATTCTCTAGTAAAAGTTAAAAAAAAAAAAGCTTGCCCGGCTTTTATTTTTTGATTAGCTAAAATGTTGCAGGAATTACAATTTTGGTCATGGGTGTACCAGCCACAAAACACAAATGAACCTCTAAAAAAGAGCTCTCCCAAGGGCCGAGATCTACCTCGGAGGAGCCAAACGGACGGCTCGAGTTTCGTGTAAGCGCACCACCTGTCCACGCCAGCCCGACCCGATGGAAGCCGCCGCCGGCGCCGGCTTCGTCTTGCCCACAACCCGATGCGAACGTTCAGGCCACCACTTCGTCTCGCCGACTTCGTCTCGCGGCCGCGGAAGCAGGACGCGGAGAAGAAGCGACGGCGGGCGGCTCGTATGATAACTTCATCAGCAGGCATGGCTCGTATGATAAGTGTGACCTTGTGTGGCGAGACGTCTACAACTTGTGTTGCAGAGATAAAATGAAATTGATTGCAAAGGGTGATGCTAACACGGAAATCGGCATTGTGAGGAGCAGAAAGCAAAAGGACCCAGACTTCTTCTTTGAGTACGTGCTCGATAAGGAAGGGCGGTTAAAGATCATGTTCCGGTGCGATGCACAGTCACGGCGGGACTATCAGTTGTATGGAGAGGGGGCATATGCCCCCCTCCTCGGTGCACTTCACCAATCGTTACTTGCATCATGGTCGTCCGCCCACAATGCCGATTAAGACGATAAGGATTATCTTCGAAGGATTGTCTCCCTTATGGTCATTCGCCTTGCGTTTCACATAATCGGTCACTTGATCTGTCCTCAACCGTTTTGGCACGCCCTGCGGCTGCGGGCACGGCGGAGCCGCTAAGGCCGGCGGCTGCAACGTACGGAGCCTACAACCTACGTCGGTTGGGTAGGCTGGCTTGATCCCCTTATACTCCGACTACTCCCACTGCTACCCCGACCACTCGGGGGCGGCGGTGGTTTGGTGGGTTTGGTAGCATTGGCTTGAACTAAAATAATGATATAAACACTTTTATATTTATTTTTACACTACAGAGAGAGGGAGTAGCAAACTTGCAGGTTGCATGCATGGCCCAGCTCGCATTACGACGGAGCGACTGAGTGATACTCCCTCCGTTCCAAATAAGTTCCGTCCGGAACGTTTACTTAATATTGATATTGATGGAAGGCTTGCTTCAACATTCATCTTTGCTTCAACGCATGCACACACAACATTAGTCTTCAATTCATGTTGGCATCCGCACCGCACCAAAAACCACCAAGGACGGTACGCGGTACGGAGTGGAGTAGTACATGGCAACATGCATGCATGTTTAATTTCACTCCGACCCGGGCTGGACTGGGCTGGGCTGGGCTGGGCAGCACTTGGGTAGGCTCCTTTTTACTCCGACTCCCACTGCAATTCGGTTTCATCTCGAATCCATCTCCCCACCCAACCTGGATCCATCGCGCCCCATAAATCCATCCACACACACCCGCCGACACGAAGCAACGATCTTGTGATCCATCCAGCTTGAACAAGGCAATCGATTTGGGATCGATTCACGGCGACCTTGCAGACTGGGTGGATCGATGGCCGGCAAGCCGACACCTCCCGATTACGGCTGCCCCGACGACGGCGGCGAGCGGCCGCCCTTTGTCCTCATCGATCCAAAGGCCTACTTCGCCGACCGCAAGAACGCCACCACCGCCGTCATCGATATGGAGGCCGGGGCCCCCAATCTCAGGGGCCGACTCCAGGTCACCTTCTGCGCCGTCGCCCCGCCGCTCGTCTCCTAGTTCTGCGTCCACGCCACCCACATGGACCACACCGAGTTCGCCGTATCGCCCTTCATCGTGGCCACCGAGACCGACGGCGGCCTCGTCCTCCTATGCGTCGTCCCCGGTAAGCGTCCAACCGATGCCCAGCTTCTCCGAAATCGCCAATACTTCGTCTACGACGCCTGCTACTGCCAACTTTACCACCTCCCGCACCCTGGCCCACAACACGAAATCAACGGCTTCTCGCTCGCCATCATGCGCGAGCCCAACAAAGGCACCGGCACCGGCAACCTACGCCCCCATGGACAGGCAGAGTTCGGTCACTTCGTCGTTGCCGCACAAGCTCACTTATTCTGGGGTAAAAAATCTCCTCAGCTCTGCATCTATCACTCTGCTACCAAGACCTGGAGCAAGAAGCCGGTGGTGATAGATTCATCTCCACAAAAACACTCTACAACCAAGACATTCACCATTGGAGGACCCAAGGGCACCGTGGCCTGGGTGGATCTCTGGCGCAACATCATCTTCTGCGACGTGCTCGCCGGACGCCCCACGCTCAGCTGCCTGAATCTGCCACCGCCCCTCAGGCCCCGCCCCAACGTGGGCGCTGGCAATCCAAGGTCTCATCGCAACATTGCGGTCCTTGGCAACACCATCAAGTATGTCGAGATGCTGCCTCACCCCGACAGAAGCTCCTCTACGCCCCCCTCCCATCGTTGGGAGGTCGTGGCATGGAGCATCCAGAAGGCAAATCGGTCCTGGCCCGAGGACTGGCACACCGAAGGCAACCTCGATTCCACCCATATAAAGGTTGATTCTGGTACCACAGCGGCTACCCTCCCAACCTTGTCGACTCTCCACGTTGGCCTGCCCACCCTCAGCCTGCAGAATGATGCCATTTTTCACTTCCTCGCCAAGATTGACTACCGCCAAAGCGAACACACAACTTGGGTGCTTGCTGTTGACATGCAGACCAAGACTATCACGCAAGCGGCCGAGTTTCGCGCCGAGAGGACTCTTGGTTTAGCCTGGGGCTTCGACGCAAGTAGCATCTCGGCATATCTCCAAACTGCTCCAGGTAACTGACTCTACTTTATTTTCACCCCTGCCTTGCTCTCTGTTACTTCCAACGATACATGCTAAACTACCAGATTAATCCATGTTCTTCCTGATGGAGTTGGTGACGGAATCGTCATTTCACACACATCGATATTGGGGGGTTCAGGGTGGATAATCCATCGTAAGATATGCTAGGTCATGATACTATATTCATCTCAAGACTTGTTTGGGGGGGAACATAGGGAGGTTTTGAACACATTATGTTGATATATAGCACTGAGATGTGAGATGATATACATCCAGCTCCAAGTCAAACGCGAGCTATTTGGGGATGCTAACGGTGAAATTCTCACCAGAACAATTCACACTTCTGCCGTGACATATAATTTAAGATATAGGGCGAGCGTTGCATGCTTATCTAGTTTGATCTTTTCTCAGTTGTCATTTCGCATGGAAATATAGGACAATTGTTGTATTAGCGCTGGTTGTTTGTGGACCAGTTCTTCTTTCCCAAACTATTACTGAAGACATGTGGAATTTGACATGCCAGGTACACAGCAAATACCTAAACGACCAGGGGTGCCGTTGCTGAAATCACCTAGCAAGAAGCATACTGGAGATGTTGACGCCATGGTGGCGTGATGTTGCATGGAAGCTGACTATATATGGTAATTCATATGGCATGATGTTGTATGGAAGCTGTATGACCTGAAAATAGTATCGAATTATCATGTTTCTAGGTCACCTTCTGTGTTGTGGCCCGCCGCTCATCTCCTACTTGTACGTCCCAAACTACTACTCACAAGGCAGAGGCACAGGACTTCATTAATATAAATAAGAGCAGGACATAGGGTTTTATTTCCATCAAGAGAGCCCGAACCTGGATAAACATTGTCTCCCATGTCTCTGTTACCATTGACCCGAGATTCACAGTTCGGTACCCCCTACCCCGAGGTCTGCCGGTTTTAACATCGATAACAATCATCATTGTTTTTATGTTAGTAGGATCTGCCAAGAAGGGACAACACCATTCTGATGTTCCTGCAATGAGATCTAGACTGGGGTCGCAGGCAATATCCTCCACCATCTTGCCTCGCCATCGGCAAACTTTGTCCAAACAAGGGCTCCAATCAACTTCTCAGCTTTCGTCTTGGTGGATAAATAAGAATCGGCTTAATGGGATAGTGACAATTAATGGTTCTATTATTCCATCTGATATGAACAATCATATTATCAGGGATCTATATCAAGATATTTTGTAGACACATATTCTCTAGAGCTTTGAGAAAGATATAAAAGATACTAGTTTCAAATGCATAAAATACACAATAGTACATCTACTGATAGGCATCAATCATGAAGAAGATTATTTTTTTTCATTGTTAATTTGCATAGATCTAGCAGAGATTCATTGCAGCCAAAAGTGTTCTCATTGATCGTTAAAAAATGAACATAAATGTTCTTTCCAAATACACATTTAATGTAACATAAATTATATTTGAAAATATAGATGTCAAAAGACTAGCAAATTAATAAAATATTTATGTTAAAAAAATAATTC